ACCCATGCGAAGCTGAGCCAAATCGGTAGTATATTATAAAAGGAGTATTCTGTCAGTGAATCTGAACATTTATTCAGTACTAAAGAACGCGTGCGGCAGTTTTCAAATTAGCTAGTACCTCATATATATCATAGTACCTATGGAATGCTTTAAAATAATACTAAAATCTTCTAATGCTCTGGGTACTGATAACATCAGTCGTGCTATGATCATGCCTATCCTTGATATCCTGTTGCCAACTATTACTTTTCTCTTTAATAATTCATTATCCTCAGGTATTTTTCCTCATATCTGGAAAGAAGCCTTTATTATCCCCCTACCTAAAAAAAATATCCCCACAGTTTTTTCCGATTATCGATATATCCATTCTTCCCTTCCTTTCCAAAGCTCTGGAAAAGTTAGTACATCAGCAACTCAACTTGTTTCTGTCCAAAAATAACCTTCTTAATCCTCTGCAATCTGGTTTCCGCGCAGGTCACAGCACGACTACTGCTCTTGTAAAGATCTCTGATGATATCCGTTTCGGAATGGATAGCTCAGAGCTGACAGTTTTAACATTATTAGATTTCAGTAATGCTTTTAATACCGTCGATTTCGACATTTTGTTGCAACTGATGACTTCTCTCAACATATCTCCAACGGCAATTGAATGGTTTCGTAGTTACCTGGTTGGACGTCGGCAGCGTATTCGTATCAACGACTCTTTGTCATCTTGGTGCAACATCTGCGGGCGTGCCCCAGGGTGGCGTCTTATCTCCTCTTTTATTTGCCTTATTTATCAACAATATCACGTCTCAGCTACCATCTTTATGCAGACGACCTTCAAATTTACTGCCGGGCTCCTCTTATTAATATTTCTGTTGCAGTAAATACAATAAACGAAGACCTTGAACGTATATCTGTCTGGAGCATGGTCTTGCTAAATCCGACCAAGACCCAGGTTATAATCATAGGTAGCCCTAGTTACATTTCCAGAATGGCTTTGAATGACCTTCCTTCTGTAGTTTTTAATGGAATGAAGTTAAACTACAGCGACCGCGTTAAAAATCTCGGCATTTGTTTTGATAGTACTTTATCCTGGTCACCTCAGATTGCTGAGATTAGCAGGAGGATGTTTGCGGCAACTGGATCCCTTTACAGGTTGCGTAAGGTTCTTCCTATGGATACCAAAATTGCGCTTGCTCATACATTGCTCCTCCCCATCCTTGACTACGCCGATTCCTGTTATTCAAATGTCACTGAAGAGCAGTTAAATAAACTTGAGCGTCTTCAAAATTTATGTATACGGTTCATATTTGGACTTCGCAAATATGACCATGTATCCCAATATCGTACACGGCTCAAGTGGCTCTCTATCCGTCTTCGTCGTAACTGGCACATCCTTTCCCTTCTTTACTCAATTCTCTTTAATCCAGTTACACCTCATTATTTAAAAGAACGTTTTATGTTTCTTGGAGAGAGCAATTCTAATTCTTATTCTTTACGTAGTACTGACAACCTCCAACTCATAATTCCTACCCATTCTTCCTCTTTCTACTCCAAATCCTTTTCCGTGCAAGCAGTTCGTTTGTGGAACTCACTCCCTACCCCTATACGGTGCGCTCAATCGTTGCCCATTTTTAAAAACTCAGTTAAAGCCCACTACCTATCCTTATAATCACTTAGTCCTACGTATTTCCAGTTTTATGTGTGTTATATATATGTGTATTAATATGGTATATTTGTATGTATTTATGCGTATATATATATATATGTATGTATATATATTTATATGTGTATGTATGTGTATGTATATATATGTATATGTTTGGTTGTATGTGTTTATTTATGTATGTATATGTATATGACGATGCTGTCACAAATATTATTTTTTACAAATCTATCTTTTTTAACGCGCCACCTACCTACTTATGCTTTAATCCTTTCTACCCAAAGGTTGTCTGGAAGAGATTGCTTAGCAATAAGACCGCTTTTTGTACTACACTATACGTATTGAAAATTGTTTTAACAAATCATGTTATGTTGGTGCAATAAAGTGTTAAATAAATAAATAAATAAATAAAATAAGTTATTTTAAAGGTTTCATTTAACATATTATAGGTATACTTCTATATTACATAGTTTTCTATATTTCACTGTTATAAAGTGAAATGCAACAATTTTTAATGGTATAAGTAGTGGAATACGGCCGGCGGTAAACCCATAGCCAAATATCAGAGACATAAAAAGGTGGAACAAATTAAAAGGGCTGTTTGTAGGTAGATGTGCTAAACTGTCGCCGGTGTGACCCACCCCCTAATGAACACACTGTAAATTGATTCGGGTCGGACGACACGACACGTGTCTAAATGAATTGAGCTGTAAAAAGATTTGATCTTTACGCAAAGCCTTTTAATGAGCATTGGCTTAGTAGAATGTGATAATTTTCAATGATTTCATATAAATTAACTACCTAAATAAGGAAATTAATCTTATTTATTTACTAAAAAAACAAATTATATAAGCACAGGTACATTATTATTAATAATTTTATATAATAGAGCGGAAAAATTTGCTTGTTTATTTGAAATCACTAATCTCTATAACTACAAGTCGAATTTGAAAAATTCTTAAATAGATAAATAATTAAAAAAAAAAATTTAAAACCGGGGACTGCAGTTAGTAAGTAACAATATAAATAAATATACCTCAGTCTTACTTATAACTACATTACAATATTTGTCATGTAGTCACAATTTCATATCCATCCCATACTTTAAGCCTCTTCATCAATTTTCAATACTTTAACCCGAAAAATGAAAACCTGAAAAACACATTAAAACATTTTCTCGAACTTCCTCCCGCATTTTCATTTTAAACAAATACATTATTCAAATGAGAATACATTAAGAAGGAAAACAAGAGTTTTTTTCGAACAATGCGACATATACTCAAAGTATGCAACTCTACATATATACTACAGCATATTCTAAGAAAATGTTTAAAAATAGTCAAATATACAGTGCAAATATCTTATGAATGTGTCAATATAGTAAAATACAATACTTCGCACTACCACAGATACATAATAGATACCTATATATCCTATTAATAGAACAAATGCAAATGTTTATGAGAATGGATAGATGGATATTTGTTACTCTTTCTCGCAAAAACTATTCAATAGATTTGAATAAATTTTAAACACGGTTAAGTTATATCTTAACACATTATTACTGTTATTATCCACTGATTCACGTGTATAACGCCATGGGATATAGCAACTATAAGTATATAATATGTAATAAATACTACGTCAATCTATAAGAAAACATCATTAAAATTGCAACTTCTAACAAAACGGATGCTCATCATTAAGTAATAGATGAATCATATGAAATTATTAAAACAAACTCAAAGAAAGTATACATACGAGTATCTATTTTTGTGGAAGTTGCTATTTATCATAATATTAAGACAAATCTAATACATATCGACTAAAGTGCGTAACAACTATAACGACTGTATAGTGCGTGTTGCCAACATTAAATTAATTATCGTTATTATTTTTTATTCACTTTACAAGGCCGTTGGTAATAATTTTAAACATGATTAAAGATGTACTTATGTCCGACATAGATCTCTTATGTAGGAAATATGGAATAGTGGTATAGAAAATATAGTGAACAACAGTAAAGCGAAAGAGGTTATTTCTGTTATTTCTACCCATATAGCAGCTCGTTGTTATTGTGATGTTAATTGTTATTAAATAAAAATGCCTTGTCAACTTTTGCCTGGGAGCCTGATGATGATGATAATGTCAAACATTGACTGTTCACTGCTGAACATAGGCCTCCCCTATTACCTTACTCAAACTCCATCCATCCAATTCAATTAGATTCGTAGCATTTACGTGATACCGGAAAAAAACATACAAACAGATAAACAGACGAAAATATTAAAAAAATCTTAAAATCCCATTTTTGATTTTGAATCAGACCAATTTCGAATACGATTAAAATTGGCTCAAATTTATATAATATGAACTAGGCCTCAGATATTTGCTGTCTATTTCGTCTACGTAGATCTATCTATTACTGGGAGTGGTGTGATTGAGCTGCATTTAGTAAATTATTACATATAATTATTTGATTGTCAAGGAAGGCTTCGTCCTTTTTTATAAGTGTCCACAGTGTAAAGGCATATGCTCGTGAACTACTCTTATATAAAACATAAAATAAATTCATTCCAAATACTATTACAATATCAGCCAGCGATCGTCTCCTAAACATTTTTCCACGAGAAATGGTTAAAGAATCGATCTGCAAGAAAATAGCTTTATATTTATGGAAAGCTATTCGGAGCAACGCAAGCCACAGCACGCGACGTCGCGTCCCTGTCAGTTCACGGCTATTAGCATATGAATTCAGAATCAGTACGTGACTGGCATATTCGCGGCGTACTCTGATACGCCTAAAATCTAGTTGTAAGTACTTATTACGAATAAGGAACGGCTTCGGTATTACCATTATTACTCGGTTAAAAAATTTATAGAATAGGTTTTTGAAGGAGATTCAAATTACAAAAAAAATTATTTGTTTCTTTTTAGTATTCGATAACTGTCGATATGACCTGAGACATGCGTTCTCTCACATGACAATTATGAAAGAATTGGTGATAAAGGACTTGGATAATATAAAATATAATATTATTATTTTACATATACTATATGAAATGAGAATCAGTAGCATCCTTTTAAGGGATTGTTCTGACCCTGAACTTAAAACATTTTTCCAAAGATGTCAAAAATAAAACAAACAATAAAAAAAAATTGAGCTCCTATACTAGTTATATTGTACAGCGCATTCATCAATCAAAGAAATATGAGACGGACAAAATTCTTTTGTCATTTTTCATCCTATATTTCTTGGAGAAAAGTATTCAATTCCGCTGGAAGAATACCCTCATAAAAAGATCCCATAAGTTTTAAATTACACTGTATTTTTTTCTATTTTATGCAGGCTTTACCAAGTACGCGTTGGACTACGCGTATCTCCAAAGGTGCCGGTCCACATCGAGGCGTCGGTGTCGAGCGGCAATGGCTCCGCAAGGACCGGCAGACCGACCACTGCTGCCTCGCTCATCGGAGGCCTGGCTGCATCACGAGCTTTCCAGATTATGTACAGAAACGAAGAGGTTACGTTGCGAGACATCATTCATTTTAGAGCTCATTTGCTAGGTATGTACTGATGTTTTGCTTTATAATTTTTTTCCTAGAACTCGGTATGACAAACCCATCTGATCGAAAGTGGATAATAAGAGTATCCAATTTTATCATCGTTATCAAACTAAAAATCTATTAGAAGCATTATAATTTATGTCTCTACTGGATATGACTTCAAATAAGGCAAGGTTGTTACCTTATTGTTACCGCGTTAGTTGTGCTGTTTCTCTAGTTACCTCTTACAACATTTTAGAAACTGAGTGATCACATAATATTGTTCCATTTATAAATAAACAATAACAAAAAATAAAAAAGTACAACAGTATTTCTTATTATATTACAATTACTTGTTCTGTATTATTATATGGCTATCAAAGCTGCCAGTACATCAGCGATATAAGTTCATGTACTACAGAATAAAAAGTACTTTGAGACAAGTCTTAATTGTTATGACTACTTATTTTTTAATTATATCAAAATAACTACAAAACCAATAGTCATAATAATTAACACTTGCTCAAATTATCTTAAATGTATAGTCGGCACCACACTTATATTGTCGAAACTAGAAAATAAATCTCTGCAACTATCTATAAGCACCAACACAATAAAAATAGAAAAAGATTTTTCTGGAATCAAAAATTCTGCATCTATATCGTTTGGTTACTAAACGATATAGATGCAGAATACGTTAATAAAGAATATACCATACCATATCAACCGTTAACTGTCTGCTGCTGAACATTGGCCACCCCAATAAAGAGGAGTTTTATCAGTTGTTGCCACGTCTAGCAGGCAAATTGGCAACCGCAGTTAGGCTTTTTATGATGTTTTAAGAGGGACGCTGCTGGCTATCCCTCGACCATAAGTTCCCTTGATCGCCTCTTACGACACCCACGAGTAAGGAAGAGATGACCAATTCTATGCCGAGACCTATACCACAAAATAAAGAATATAAGATTAACATTTATATTTATAAATTTATTTATTTATATATTATTTCCAGTCGATAGCCGAAATTTAAAAGAATCCCTGGAGCGCGCGGAATGGAGCCTTGGCGTAGAGCTATGGTGCAGCGAAGGGGCTCAGTCCAGTACCCTAGCACCTGTCTCCTGTCGCGTCCTTAAACTCCACTTCCAACCTTCCCAAGGTTTACACTACCATCTCCCAGTATTATTTGATTACTTCCACCTCTCCGCCGTCTCCATAACCATACATGCGAGTCTCGTCGCTTTGCATCAGCCATACATCAAGTAAGTATATATCATATTATTTTCCTCATTGATATAGATTACATTCAGAAAATTGATTGATGATTTTCTTTCATGTCTGGAAAGGAAAAGTATCATGCATTATGTACAAAGCTGGTAAGATATAAGCTCTTTACAACTCGTACGAAGTAAACGTATTGCATTTATATTTAACTAGCCACTTGACTTAACGTTGCCTTTTTTGTGAAATATCTTTAATACAAACAGTTGAATAATGCTTACACGGTAACATAACCTATTTATTGTTGCTGAGATCGAACCTGCAATCTACTAGCACTACTACACTATCAGGGTCACCAGGAAAGGAAGAAACGTAAACTTTGTTTCAACATAATAAATAGTCTCTCAAATCAAACTAGGGAAGTTGACGATTTTTTTTAATAATCCTTTATGTTTAATTTCCCAGCACCCCGCGTTCAAGCAAGCAATGGGGAAAGCTGATGAAGAGTGCTGGCGCAAACTTTAACACGTCAGGAAGCTTCGAAAACGTACTCTTTGGCTCTACCGGAAAGTGTGCGGGGGGAAACTCAAGCAAAATTGCACATGCAAGGTGAGTACACAAGGCTGTCTTTTATTATTATTTTATCGACTTTACCCTTGTACTGCTTGTGTAATAAATATTGTTTTATTCAAGATAGTATAACAAGTTGATGACACGCGATCTAATTTATTTAAGTTATAGGTATCTCAGTTATATATCATTCACTACATATTTAAAAAATATAAAATTATAATTTCCAGACAAGTACATGCTGAAGTATGCGGAATTCTACTGGGCAGTTTGGAAGGACTACAAAGTGCTTTAGCAATATGCGGCTCGACGGGAGTGCTGCTTACTCCTGAGCAGTCGTCTTCGAATTCCGTCGTTGGAGAAGTGGCACAGAGAATAAAAGATCTCAGTGATATCGGCAAGGTACAATCAAATAACAAATACTTAACATATTCACTGGCAAAAAGTAGTGATAGTAGATTGTTTCATAGAAAATCTATAGAGATAGGACATCAAAAAACACTAAAGTGTACCCATTGTAACCTTTAGCAGGCTTAACAATTCCTTAGAACTTTTGAATATCTGCAAACGATTATATAGCTAAACAAAGACAAATTACTTGGGTACAAAAACATTAGTAAGTATCCATTTAGAACTTTAAATTTGTAACTTTGTACCTATTTACAAATCTCCCTTGGTCTTATTATTTAAACCAGTTTCTATTTTACTGAAGTCCCAGATATGCTTTTATATCAGGCCGGATCCATTATATGTATAAACTGCTTATTTCTAATTAAGAATCTAACTGAACCGAAATATTAAGGAAACCCCGAGAACGAAACATAACGTAATGGTAATGTTATGGTATCGGTAATATAGAAAGCAGAAGCTGGGGAGGAGGAGGAATGGGCAGCGGGTGCAGCTCACGACATAGCACGACTGTGTGCTGAGGTGACACTACGCTGGCGAGCTTTCCTGCATCACACCACAGATCGTCCGCATGTACACCACGCGCTTGCCGCCAGCCACCATGCGCTCCGGTAACTAAAACTACTCGTACTTCGATCTTCGTACCATTTCATCTTTTCATACCACTAACTAGTTCTAACAGTCAAATTGTCATTCTTCATCCGCTGACCGAAATTGTATTGTCAAACATTTTCTCGATATTGTAATTGCTCTAGATATTGTAAATCCAGAATGAAAGTAAAAACTTTTGGCTCGTCAAAATTGGTGCACAATTTAGAATATATCACATAACACATACAAAAACAGTTTAAATTAAGACCTCTTTTTCTTTTTAATAATTTAAAAGCATTATAGTAACGCCCTTGTGGCACGAAAGTCCTCTTCATATTATAAAAGTGCTCTTCATACATGCACAGATAATATAATATATAAAGTATTCCAATAGAATTTACACATATTGCATTTTGCGCCATCACCAAACGGAAAAAAGATATCCTCACTAAAAGTAAAACTGAATAACTTGAACTATTTTGAATCCAGAATCAAGCGCTTCTCCGAATGCTTCTTTGTGTTGGACAACCCAAGGCATTCATTAGCTGGCTGCTACGATAGCAACTACCAGTCCTACCAAAGCGTAGGGGAAGTAGCAAGGCGTTCAAGATACCTCGCCCTTCTGCCACCGTTACCTGTACATTGTATAGCACTAGATGGCGATCCACATATAATGCCCATCATATTTGAAGACAGGTAATACCAATTTACGAATTTTTTATTGTAATAGAATAGCAGATAATTGTAAAAAATAAAAAGGAAAAGTGAAATATTTTTTAAAATTCTCGTAAAACTTTTACATAAATTCAAAATGTTACTAAAATTAAGATTTTGTTCTTTTTTCGACAGGTATCAAGATACAGCAGAATTTGCAAGACGACGATCATTTCTTAATTCAAATGCAAACAAATCTGGTAGTGGTAAATATAAAACTTATTATGAAATAAATTGCTTATTAGTTAAGATAATATTAAAAAATAATATTTTATTTGCAGATCCATTTTTGTGTACTGAATCACTGCCAGATGATTGTGCATGCAGTATTAGTTCACTGATGGATTCAAGGAGGCCGTCATCCGAAGCTTCTAGAGTGACCCTTACTTTGCCTAAAACTATAATTGATGTTCTTGAACCCCAATTTAATGCGCCTAAATCTAATCCCAATATTGTTCAAGCGACTCTAACTTTAGCCCCTCAAAAATCAGCTCGTGGATCCCCTAAAAGAGCATTGGTTAAACAAAACGTTATTGAACTTAACAAACCGCATAATAAGCAACTTGAGATAACTGGAAGAAACAGATATATAGTTCAAAATAATCAAATCAGTGAAATTCAATTACCACCTAATAACGCTTTTGCATCATGCTCTATCCAACAAGGACAACAAATGTCTCGATACTCTACATCAACGCTAATAGATATTAATTCATTAAAAAGTAACATAAACGTCGCATCGCATTTAGGAATGGATAATACAAATCCGAATGAAGTGTTTCGTCAAAAACATGAAATCACTAGTGGAGTAAGCACATTACCAGCCAGACATAGCAAATCATTAGATCAGTTAAGAGTATCACAAATGTCTCAGCCTCTTAGCAATCCTGCAATGTTGTCGAAAAATCCAAGAAATAGTTCTAATCAATCTGTAAACTATCCAAAGCCGTATTTACCGCCACAACAAATTAAACCTACTACTCTTCCCCGTAGCGTCACTACTACTGCCTATCCCACCAATACAACAGTTAGATGCGGATCTAAAGGAGATGACTATAGACGAAATATTAGTGAATTCAGAGAAAAATATAAAAATCCATGTAATCTCAACATTAATCACCACGGACTAAATAATGAAGTATTTCACAATGTAGGATATAAGTATGACGGAATAATGAAATCCAATCCTAACCAAGTGTACGGATATACATTCGGTAATCAGGGTACAGTGCAAACGAATAATGTTATTCGTAATCCATTAGAATTTCAAAGAGGCTATAGTGTAAATTTGCCCCGTCCTATGTTGCCTCCACGTAATTCTTACCCACCTGTTAGTGGTAAAACTCAAGTGACTGATCAAAATAATTTAGTTTCTAATAAACATGTTCATAGATCAAATTCTACCCACGGTTTTCATCAAAATATCGATAGTCAACATATCGATATCGAAGCTGCTCGTAATCAACTTAGACACGAACTTAATTACTATTTACAAAAAGGAGACTGGAGTTATGATTTTAATACTGGTAGTTTGATTCAAAATTATCAAAAGAAATCAAGTAAAAGTAGTGATGATAGCGGATTTGTGATGACTTTAGATAGAAGCAGTGATGGAACATCAAAATCAAATTATTCTAAAACCCCACCATCTACACCACATTCTACTATGCCTTCAATAAGACATAAAAAGAGCCGATCAAAAGAATCAAAATTAAACAACAGCTGTAAAGAGAACACCAAATTAAATTCAAGCCGAGATTCATTAAGTAGCCACCATTCCATTAAATCAAGAGATAGCAAATCAGACCGCCAGACATCTAAATCTGAACGAAGCACACCAAAATCTGATAGAGCTACACCGAGATCCGGTAAGGGTACTCCAAAATCAGGAGGTGTCACTCCAAGATCTGGATTGGCTACACCAAAATCGGGTAGAGCTACACCTAAATCAGGATTAGCGACTCCAAAAAGTGGTAGATCTAGTGGCAAAACAGAAAAGAGAACAAAACACAGAGCTTCTGAAAAAATGACTCAATTAATGTCGGAAGCTGCTTCTTCGTCCAGCAATGAAAGTATACCATTTGAATTAAGTAGATTAGAATCATCAGCTAGTGTACCATATAGCCTTGATCATGGTCCAGAATTACTGCGACACTGTAGAAGTGCTGCATCTGTTTTAGATGAGCCAAACCTAAATAATACTTTTGGTTCTGAATCATTGCCAAATTTAGCACCACCACCAGCTTTTGAATCCCCGCCACTAGATATTGCAGATAAAGATTTCAAAATATTACCACCCGAAAATTTTCTCAATAAAGAGGAAAAAAGAAGTCGTAGTAACTCAACATCTAGTCTAAGTGAACAGAGTGGATGGGTGTCGAGCGGTCGCAGTTCCGGTCCATCAACACCAGATAATGCCAGTTGTCAATTAAATCAAAATTATCTCCCTAGCACCTCAAATGCATCTAAAGTTTCAAGTAAGAAATATAATGATAATGTCGAACACCGCAGTGAAGATGATGAACTAATAAGTGATTCAAAACAGACTCTGAATGGAGAACAATTACGTGAAAGGTTACTAAAATTAGCTCTAAAAGTAGCTCAGAACTCCAATGAGAAAATTGAATGTTGTGATAAAGAAGTCTGCGAAGAGTGTACTATATGTAGTGATTCAATATGCACGGATAGTCAATGTGAATATAATAAATTAATGCACAGTAACGGCATAGATGCTGGATGTAACTCAGACACGTGTTCAGCCAGTTGTTATCAACAACGTTCAGAACCAAATGTAGGAAAACTAAATCAAAGGCACAATTCATTTAGTGCAATTCAAAGCAAATCATTTAGTACTACATCAAAAAGTTCAAATGAAGGATCGGTTAAAAAATCACAAACTGTAAGTGATAATCTTCATCCTTATATTCGTAAAGAAGTTGCTCCTAAATTACAACAGATACCTGCAAAATCTAACTCAATAGACAAAACAAAACTAAGAGACAGGATAGAATATACAGAGAAATTGATAGCGGCAGAAATACGAAGTTTGACAGTTGAACGATCTTGCAAAAGTCATGTGCTGAAATCAAGTGCTGGCGTACAGAAGTACCAAAATAAAGCTCGATCTGAAGTAGACTTAGCGCATTTTATTGGCGATAACGATTACGAGCATTTACCACCTCCTCAACAATTTCGAGATGCTCCTCCACCTCCTGATGAATTTAAGGTAAAAATGTTATAAATAATTTTGTGATCAAACAAATTACTAATTTCTTGATACTATAATATAATTCTTAATTTTTAGGACCCACCGACAAAATCTCCTAAACTAAGTAGACAAAGCAGCAAATCCTCCACACCTTCTAAAACTCCACGAAAGCAACCAGTACAACCATCAACTTTGCAATTAGACAACCCATTGTATCACGTGTGTGAAGGTATATAATAATAAATTATGAATTAGTATTTTAATAAATCTAATAACAATAACTATATTGTAAGTACTAACTAACGACCAATAAAAAATAAAAACAACTAATATTAACACAGAAATATACAACTTGCACTGCAAAATTTAAATTAGGCATCATTACAGTTATAAACGCTACTAATTTCCTATTTGTTAACTTATGTAACATAACTAATGCTTAATCAAACAACAATACTAACATTCACTAATGGCTTTAGGTATCATGGAAAGACGAAAATTGAGACCCCTACAATCAGTAAGCTCAGGAGGTGCCACGCCGGGAACCACACTTAACAAAAGTCAAAGCACTGGAGAACTTGCTAATAGAAATGATAATGGTAAAATTATTCTAATCTTTATGAAATATCATTAAAATATAAAGTACTATTAACTCTTAAAACATAGAACTCATACTGTTAGAGTTTTTATACATCGTAATACCTACGAAAATTAGTATCATGACATCACCCTCTAAACAAACATTTTAAAGAATAGATGCTGATTTTATAAGCTATATGCATAGAATCATCTAGCTACAATTATATCAGGAAATATTTTTTAATTTTTTTTTATAAAATTGATCTATTATTTTACTACATATGAAACTAAAATATAGTTTGATTTATGAAAATATTAAAGATTCAACTTCTTAATTTACACTAACATGGCAATATAAGTAGGTACTGATAATAAGGTCTATGTACGGCTTGCTAACAACAATAATTCCTTTTTTCAGAGCAACGTGAGAGTAACCTCGTTAGTATTTTCGGTTTGGCGGAATCTGAACGCCTATTTGTGAAGTGCAGAGAAGAGTTCCGACAAAGTGTCAAGTATCCAGGAGCTATATACTCCGATTTCCCACCAGTTGAGAACTCCTTGCCTTACTTTCATATCAGCGATGAGTATAGAATGTTCAACCCTGAAGGTAAGATACAGAAATTACCTACATATTATTGCAGTATCTGTAACACTACTACATCTTTCGTCAGGACTTATCAAATTACTGCGAATTTCAGGTTTATGTTTTATGTTTATCAATTTTTAAAGAATCTACTATATGGTATTTAGTCTTTATTTGTTTTTCTTATCAAAGATCATATAAATACGTTTAAAGACGTGCATTTTTTTTTCAGGATTACATCTTATCATCTGCGTCCATGGTTTAGACGGAAATGCAGCTGATTTACGACTTGTAAAAACCTACTTAGAATTAGGTCTACCTGGAGCCAAATTAGATTTCTTAATGTCCGAAAGAAATCAAGGCGATACGTTCTCCGATTTTGATACTATGACAGATAGGTAATATGTTGAACAAGCTTAAATAACTGTTTTGTAAATAATTAAATTTACACTATTTTTTATGCAAATTAGAACAGCAAATAAATATAAGCCCCCTAATGTATATATTTATTGAACTTTAAGACACCCAACCGTCTGGTCCCGGTAGAAAACCGCCCTAATAGGGAGGCCTATGTTCAGCAGTGGACAATTAACAACTGATAGGATGATGATAAATACATCTAGACAGTGTAAAAATATCGTATAACGTCGTCTATCAGTCACCAGTAGATAGGAATAACAAAAGACGATGCAACGTAATAAGCAAATAATTACAAAATATAGGATATTTATATATTTCCTTTCCTGTCATGCGTTGCCAATTCCTTTGGGTTGTGACAGTGTAGTCTACACTACACAACCCACAAATACAAGCACAGCCATGCAAACAGTTGCTTAGTGGCAAAAACATGAGGTTCTCATGCTATAGAATATCTCTCTGATCTGATTCACATAAATCAGAATCTCTTTTAAATATAGTTATTTATTCATATATTTTATATTGATTGCATAATCGATAAATGAATGCATTGTAATATAATGATAGCATTTACCAATAAATTAATGCATTATTTTCAGACTTGTGCAAGAAATTTTGACCCACGTCCAAAATTCCAGCGAACCAGCTAGAATTAGCTTCGTAGGTCACTCATTAGGAACTATTATCATCAGATCAGCGCTAGCAAGGCCTCAAATGAAGCCCTTCCTAGGGAAATTGCATACTTTCTTATCTCTAAGTGGACCGCATCTTGGAACACTTTATAATTCTAGTGGCTTAGTTAATGCTGGTAAGACATCAATATATCATTAATAATAATTTCACTTGCAGTTGTAAAATTCATAAAATGTTTGAAACAATAAAAACAATTTCTTCTTCACCTTGATAATTTGTACTTATTTCATATAAAACTTTATTTTATACAATAGCCAAAAATGTTCATTACAGGCATGTGGTTTATGCAGAAATGGAAAAAATCCGGCTCTCTCCTACAGCTTTCTCTCCGTGACGCATCAGATCCTCGTCGCTCCTTCCTTTATCGATTGAGCGAAAGGAGTCAACTGCATCAATTCAAGCACATCTTATTGTGCGGATCTGGCCAAGACAGATATGTGCCATTGCATTCTGCCAGATTGGAGCTTTGCAAAGCTGCTGCCAAGGATACGTCTCTACTTGGACAAGCATATAGAGAAATGGTTAGTATTACACATTAAAGTTTGTTACTTATTATAACTACTACTAGTATCAATATCTAATTTTGCCCTGTAGCAACAATGCATGCATTGATATATTTTGGTCCGAAATCTCAGTAATTTGTAATTAGAAGCTACCTACATGACCTCAGTAGCAACAATTAATTATTGATTGTGGCATCAATACGACGATCACGATACAGCATTATTTATATTGCTTATTATTGCTTCGGTAACAGCTCCCATTCCAATTTCGAATCTTAGCCTCAACCTCTGAATTTTCAAATTTATGTTTTAAAAAATGATTGCCACTTACTTCATGCTTTGGATGGCACATAAAGCCATCGTAACACCTTAACACGACTAGTAATGTAAGTTTTTCTTGCTTGCTCGCCATTGCTAATAGGCTAACTAGAACCACAGAATTTGTACGCGCGAAAAAGAATACTCGTACACGCATTATTTTAGAACAGCTGCACCTGTATGATTTGTTTTCTTGCTGTGTCTATAATCCTCAGGGCAAGATTTAAATAAAAGAAAATATTTAAAGAACAGTAACCCTACGTAAAAAGTGAGTGAGACAGAAAACAGTAGAGGAGAAGGACACTTGATGTTTAAGAGAGACATAATACAGTAATTTTAAAGACTAGTTGTAAAGATTTGCGGTCATTTTCCCCATTAATACACCCATGCAAAAGAGTGGCAAGCGGAGCTAGTATATAATACCACAATACAATATGGGTTACACATATGGCCGCAGGTGCACAACATGGTGTCTCCGCTGGCGGGGCGGGCGTCGACGGTGTCGGTGGTGCGGTACGACGTACAGCACGCGCTGCCGCACACGGCCAGCGCACTCGTCGGCCGTGCCGCGCACATCGCCGCGCTCGACTCCGACCTCTTCATCGAAAAGTTCTTGCTGGTCTCCGCGCTCAAGTACTTTCGATAGAAGCCTTACAATATTCACTTGCGTACGATTGTGTACGGTAATTCAGTTCCGCTTCTATACTATTATAATTTGTTTCAATACATCTTAATGAAAAGGCTTACTATATAGGCGTATTTAGGAACAGAACGGGTAAGCTGTACTCATCTCAAAATTGTCTGATGCCCACCCCAGGAGCAGAAACACAGCTTTTAGCATGAACAAAAATATGTTTCAGTGTATGTGTCTTATTGGAGGGGTCAAGCCCCCCTGGAAAATAATATTAAATACGCGAATTGATAGAGGCTTCAGAATAGTCTTTTGCATACTGTAACACTACAGATAATATTACACTATACTAGTAATACCGTTCAAATTTATACTTTATAATCTGTTTCAATAGATCTTAGTGAAAATGTAATCAAGTTTTATAAGATTTATCACAGAAACACTGTCTAAATGAAATCGAACCATTCAACTAATTAATCCATTTTTAATTTGTACTACTATTAGACATCAATAAAAATAATGATCGGGTCAATTATTCGTTTGCTTACATATTGCTTATTGTCATTAAGATCTATTCAAACAAACTCGAGAACCTAATAATATTAAGTCTACACAATTTGAACAACTTGCATTTGTTTGTAGACACGGGATAATCTCCTACACTCCATCTTTATAAACCCTTATTTAGAATTTAAAAAAGCCAAAGTAATACATCTATGACGACTGACGTTTGTTAATACACCTATAGGAATTAAAAATTATTTTCAATTTTAGAACATTGATCTATGGAAAACACTTCGTTTTATAACTTTCGAATTATTACCATCCAATAAATTAGGCCTAAAAAAATTAATATTATTGCGAGTGATTTCTGGAATGTTAGTTTATCTTATTTTAAAAGTATTTATTTTTTACCTAATAGAAAAAATAAACGTTTAATTATGCAATAATAGCTACATAACTCTTTATTCTGATTACATTTTATTCTCAATTGAATTTATGTACCTACCTACAAATAGGTAATATGGAAAATATATATTCAGTCTTTCCCCTTGTTTTTAGCCTGCCTGTGTACAATCCACTGACATTAATGTTTTCAACTTGGGCATTCAGAAACTATTTTAATGTAGTTGTAAATCTAATGATTTATAATCGTTCAAATCCCCAACAGGACAAACAAATAGATTCCAAAAATCTTTCTACAATACAGATCAATTAACCTGTTATTTAATTCTAGTTTAACAGATATAGAAGGTATTTTTCCTTTAGATAAATTATTTGGCAATCCTGAAACGGTCTCTTCCCACATTTTTACTATCACTAACACCGTTAGAGCGTTTTCGTTTCTACGTTTTTTCAATTTTGTTTGCAACTTTCTAAATATTTTTTCTGTCCACCAAGTCCTACAGGAATATAATGTCCACTATCTATTAAATAGATACATTGATAAACTAAAACCTATATTTACGCTAATATTGAAATTTACAAAGAGTTGATAGTAATGAACTTGTACGTCACTCATGTGGTAAATATAGGAATTCTGTACAAAAAAGACTTGTCTACTATTAAAAAGACTGCTCGACACTTATAGTTAAAAAAAAAAATGACTCATTTTAATGAAACCATTTTTACAAATAAACATAAAATTATAAAAATCTGTGATTATGCGACGTTCTCCCTAGCGATTTCCTAATGCAATTGAAAACTTAAATTACTTGGATTATTTACTGTCATAAAATGATTTAAATGTATCAGATTAACTATACCTGTTTTTTTAAATCGATCTAGATTATATCAGAAGCTTTATTAAGTTTCATCTTCATCCGTTATAAAATACGTCCTCTAAATAAAATTGGAATCTATTTAGATATTTAAAAAGATTTATATTTAAAAGATCAACTTCTGCACTCAATACCTTCTAAGAAACTAATATGGATAAATTTTCAGACTAAACTAGTACCCAAATACGATAACTTTTGGTGAAATTTGTATGATCTCAAGATTATCTTTATCAACAAAATTTATCCAATGGAAAACTTAGATACATTTAAAATAAGAAACTTTTTCTAGATTACTTTAAATTTTATATATTGGATAAATAAACTTATTTTATGTAGACACCTAAGTTCATACGATTGCATTATTACCTTTCTGTCGCATTTTACGTTAAGCATTTATTTTATAAAAATATGTAGGACAACTTTTCTTTGGCGATCAGAAATGTGAAACTTAATTGTCTTTCCATAAAATTTAAAAGTTAACCTAATTATTTTTTTTCTAATTGTGTTACAATAATAATGGATCGACATAAAAATCCTAAATATTGTTGCAATAAACAAAACACCAGACGTACTTATTCTATGTACCTTATAAAAAAATAAAGTAACAAAACAAAATTTGTATTAGTTAGGTTACTTAGGAATATTTCATTATGGCCTGTTTAACGCAGAAATCGAAATTTATTGATAAGTTCACTTCTTGAGATATTTTAAACAATTAATTGAACTTAATATATACTGCAATGCTGGTATAATAAATATGACCCCAGGGTCTTAATTATATAACAAAACGTGAACAACTCTCGTTCGAAGTAAATTAAAACTGATAGTTTTTCAATTAGAGAATTGTTAGAAACTTTCTAATCGAGTCAAAAATGAGATAGTTAAGATTGTAACCATGGTAAAGTACCAAAATAATTATGTATGTTTGTATATATAAAATATTTAAAAGTGTATAGAATCCATTTATGCACGATGTAAATAATAAAATATTAAGTAACATAATGAAATTAAAAAGGAACAAATCTTTCAGAATACATAAACGAATACTCAATTGAAATGAGGATTATACAGACAGTAAGATCTGAATATTCATAAACTTATAAAAATATAATATCAAATATTAACACAAGCAAAACTAGAAGAAAGCAAAAACTTATTACCGTGTCCTCTAAAAAGGTAATTGATTTCTGTATTCAGATCTACCTGCTGAAATTGTACCTGCTGAAATCGTACCTACTGAATCGCAGTAATTAATCAATTAACAACTTTTAGTCGGAAAAAAATCTTAAGTACACCGATAAAGTGACTAACTTGCTTAGTAAAAATTACCATAACGACTTGTGATAGACAAATCTTCATCATAGATAAAGATCTAAACGAGGGATAATGAAAACCTCATTGATATTTATATATACTTTTTTATATATCAAAATAGAATACATAAAAATTTGATTACATAAAATTACATTGCATAACATAGAAAAGGTTCTAGTAAAAAGAACAAAAAATTGTAATCTCCACGGACAAAACTCCTTCCTACCCGTAAGCCATAAAAATATCGCATAATTGAACAAATTATCTATTCATAAATAAAAGTGTGATACTTCGAATAGAATTCATCTTGTAGAGTGATGTAATGAAGAATATTGGGAATAAACAATGAAACAACAATTTTAATTAGAATTAAGGCGGATCTTTACACCAATTAGTTAAGACAACTTAGCGAATATAGAATACAAATTACTTAGATGTATAATGTCTACAGGAATATGATCTTACTTTACTGGACAGAAACCTTTTTTGTCCAATAGGTGTAAGTAATGGAACACTTACAATACGAGGCGCCATTTATAGACACAAATGGCCGTATTTTAAAGGTGTAGTCTACTTTAAAAAGTAATTTGAAACTTCGAATTAAGAATCACTCTTATAAAACTTCTTAGTCGTGGAACGTACTTGAAATGACTTGAACTTGAGGACCGTCTGTTGCATCGCCTCTTACTGTAAATGTTCTATGTAAAAATTCTTTTAGCTTACATATGACTACACTGTCATTATCATTGCTCTTTGGAATCGTAAGTTCCTACCTACTTTTGTCGTCATGATTATCTACATAAATACGAAATATATTTTAATTTGCAGCCAATTCATAATTAATTCTAAGGTTTGACACAAATAATAAAATTATCATTAACATCACAGTAGGTAACCCATATATATATATATATATATATATATATATATATATATATATATATATATATATATATATATATATTAAAAATAATATTAATAATACCTATTTAACTGTTATCTACAATTATTATATTTTAAAAACATAGATAGGTCTTCCCTCCTTAAGTACTATTATTTACATTTTTCCCTTTAAATTATACATTTATTTCAGAAGACAGATACTCGTAACATCACCATACATAATAAATTACACTTTTGCATCAGCAACAATTATGATATGAACTTATGAAGTCGACTTAAATACAACTATTAATAAAGTGCGTAATCCCTTATTGTAGTTGTGTATTGACATATTTTTATTTCGCCGTAAATATAGTTATTTCATTTAATTAATTAATATTCAAAGACGTGTTATAAATCAGTGAAGGCCTGCATTCAAGGTCTTAGCCTTAACCATTATAACATTAGAAACTAAAATTGTAAATTTTTATCGAATGTTAGACTGATCTTTAATTATACGATCACTAAGATTAATCGATAAGTTTCATAGATTATCTTTTCGTAATGTAGTTAAATATTTTGAAAAAAAAAACTGTTATCTCGCTCTGTCCACTTCTCTCTTAATCAGTAGGTAATGTTTTATACAGGGGGCTTGAATATTCTGATTTAGATAATTTCGTATAATATAAATATACATTATTAGAGTAGATACTCATTACTGGGATAGTACTAGTGATACCTCAACTTGCTCACGGGCATGGTTAACAAATGGAATAATAAACTATGAAGAAGTGTATCCAACTAAAGAAAAGAAAGAATTTTGTAAATAAAGAGATGTTTTATTTGTAAATCGTATGTTTAATGGCAATGTGTCGATGTTATACACCTATGATAATAAATAAATAATGCCTGTAACTCTATTTTTTTAATTTTTAATACCCTTTATTTTGTTAGTTTGCAAAACAATTGTAATGTTATGGAAACTAGCAATACGACTATCTCAAAAAGAAAAAAATACCTAAATCAAAACAAACAGACAGTCATCAATACATACAAATGTTTGTATTATACGGAGATCAAAACCGACCGACCGAGGATTGTTAGTAATGCTAACTACTAGTCCCATTGCTAGCAATATAACCTGTCAAGTCGACCTACTTACGGTCCACCCTGGAAACCATCGTGCTGAAGTCCAGATGTATTCATTACGATGGGTTAAATGACCTGCTTTTCTATATATCCTTGTATATCCTACGTATACATTTATATGTGTATGTATATGTATACTTTATAGCTACTATATTTCACTTGAATTTTCTAATTATCAAATATTTGGTTTTTGGTGCAATGAAGAATTAAATAATAATAATACATTAGGAATAAACTGAATATAAGGAGAATTTGCAAAATATTGCTTACATATAATTTGAAGGCGCTCTCTTTCATTGTGCATGATACAAATAGAAGGAAGGGAGATAAAGATTCTGGATTGAACAATTTACCGTAAATACAATTCCATAAGTTATAATTATTGTATTATTAAAATTATAATCTAAGAACAAGGTTTGATTTTAGTTCTGTTCACAGAGTAAGTAATCACTATGTTATAAGAGTTGGCATCGGCCTTATATCATCGGAACTTGGAAATTGAAATGCATGTTACATTTTTGAAAGTAACAACGCAAAAAAATATAGAAAAAAATTCTACCACTTTCTATATATGTTTTCATCCAATATATCGATATCAATAATTGCTACAAAAAACCTAGCTACATATTTCATAATATATAATTTTAAAAGTTTTACGAAAAACATGGACAACAAACAAGTACGTATGAAGTATTGGCCCGAATCAAATAACATCGGAAAAAAAAACACGTATTAATTTCTAAAGAATATATACGTACTTTATTATACACTAGTGGAAAAAATTAAGGGATGAAAAAAAATGACAAATTTTTTGAGGTTTTTCAAGTTTTTTTTTTTTTTATATACAACTTAGAATGGCAAACAAGCTGACAGTCCACCTGATGGAAAGTGGTAACCGTCGCCTATAAACATGAACAGTACCATGAACATAACAGGGTATACTGTTTCACCCATGATACCCCCCATGCGTTGCCATTCCTGAGGACTCAGGTGTTATTCCTCTGTACCCTGCAAATTCATGCCATATCCCATTCTTCAAACCGATTTAAATTAAATAAACTGGTTGCATACAATTCATGTCAACCTATTTTTGTTAGAAGTGACGCTGGCCTGTTACTTACCTAGTCTCTTTGACTAAGAATAATACCTGCAATTCTAACATAATACTTTTTCTACAAAATTATATCTGTGCATTTTTTTTATTTTTATTTATTTTTTTTATAAAGAATATTAACCTTCAAAAGCTACCACGACTTTTCTCACATAAACAAAATCATAAATTATAACTTATGAATCGATCTTTCATCCATTATTGAAAAGTAACAGATTTAATGGTCTTTTGAATCTATAATCCATATTCACTCTTAAACATTTTCTAATCCTCACTGAAGCTAAACATTAAAGGAACACAACAAAGATTTAGTTTATACCTTTAGAGGAATTTATATTGATTATCAAATACTTAAATCGACAATGAAAAACGGAATATCGCAACTCTTAACGCACTTCAGCAGACTTAGAATTCAAACATACATCACTATTTTATGACAGTTCATTATCGTTTGCGGATGGGTATGTAGTGTCAGTGAATAGTAGATTTTTCTATTTATCTTTTAAATTGGGCGTTTATTATTCTGTTTATATAATAGAATACGAATAATTTTTGTATCGTTAATTAAATATATTAAATTGTTGATCCTACTCATAGTGATACAATAAAGTTACGTTTTCCGTATTTTATCTTGAGCAATGCAGTGGATGCTATCGGTGAATCTTTTTTGAATAAATTGTGACTGTTATTTGTGAAAAATGGGAAAATTATTGAGTCTTTTATCGCGTGACGATTCGAACTGTTGTTCTTCACCTCGCTACGACATATTCCTAGATTTTGAGAACGCTGCACCCACAGACACGGAGCGAGATGTTTACGAAGAGGTCCAGAGAGTTTTGTTGGATTCAGAAAAAATACTTGAAGAAATACAATGTTATAAAGGTGCAGGGAAAGAAATAAGGGAAGCTATAGCAGATTCCTCGAGGATATCACAGGAGCGAGCTTGGCGTGCCGTGAAACCTCTAGTAGATAAATTACTCAGATGTTATAACCACTCCCTGCAGCTCCAACGGGTGAGTCAGATTACCTGAAATATACTTAGTTTATGTTGCTTTCTATATCTTAAAATAGTCTTTTATAGTAAAATATTATTCAGCCTAATCAAAATGATAAAACTTATAAATAATTTGTTGTGTTGTCATATTATTTATAAACATATTTTAATATGTCTGTATTTAAAAATCTGTAATAAATATCAATGATATGTCTATCTAATCTAAATAATATTTGAATCAGCTATATTAATCTTCACACATAAAATAGCATATATGGATAACACATTATGAAATGTAAAAAATTAATGTAAAGATATTTTTTAAGCACTTGGTGCTTATTATATTGCATAAAGAGTCTTGTAGATTAAATAGGTAATTTAATTCTGCTGGATAATGTTGGATATATAAAATAAACCTAAATTATCTAGTAAATTTAATATTTTTTGTCATGTATACATATAATTGTCAATTTTAAATAGCAACTTTAAAAAATCCTTCTTTTATTCTCTTATTATATTACACTATAATTTCACCAATTATGAACTGATTATGATATTTCTATATAATATTATTAAATAAAAGGTCAAGTAAAAATTTTTATCACAGTATTTTTATAATACGTAATAAATACTTTTGGAAGACAGGCAGTGACAGATATATATGTAATACGTACATATGTATATACTTTTTATTTTATATATAATAAATAAATACACACTATATAAATTGAGTGTTTACTTATTTATTACATACATGTTATATACCACAGCTGAATTCATGAAAGAACTTTAATTTCTACTAAACTTCCATAAAATAAACATAGTTGTACATAAAAGCAACATATTTATTATAAGAATGATGTTTTTATATTTTATATCTGTTTATCACTCTTATCAGTGATTATATATATGTCACTGATATTTTCTTACTTGGAAAACTCATGTTTAGTGTAAATAAATAAAAATACTATTTTGGTTTAAATTTTTATTTTAAAACTGATTACAAAAAATGTAATGATAGATATACTCAACTATCATATAATAAGAGGGAAAGGAATTGTTAGCAATGGAGTCTAACAGCCCCATTGCTAGCAAAATGGTGGGTATATTCCTAGCAATTCTATTTTCACCCATTAAAATAAATACTATCATATAGTCGCTGCTTAAAAGCACTCCAGAATATATGCTTTCCTGGTAACTTAAAAGTAGGATATATGTTTCTTCCAATTCCAATGTAGAATTGGCAAAAGTTATAACATATAAAATAATGTTTTATTTAAAACTTCGTTTCTTTAAACTGGTCACTAATAATTATGGCTATCTTGGTTGTAGATATTTTTATTACAGACTAAATAATAGTACAAATAGTATTATTAGAACTACATCTATATAAATGATTACATATGTAGGTATTATGCTAATAAATTATATAAAAAGTACCTAACAGAAACCACCAATATACCTAATTGAATTTTCCTTTAATGAAACTTATGAGCAAAAATTATTTATTGTTAGATGACACTCATTTTATATATAAAATATTATTTTATTATACTAAAGGGGTGTCCATTCCTCTGTAAATAATGGGATCTGTAAATATATAAATTTAAAGGTTATTAGCTATCATTTGATTGACTTCTTGCATAAAAAACTTTAATCCCCATTGGACTTTCAAAAAATATTACCATAGTTTTAGAAAATGGGCATGTACCCAAAAATTAAAAAAATTTGAGCCTTCTATAGGCAGGTACTAACTTGATAGTTGGTCACGCTATGTTAATATTGGAGGCTCTTCTTTGTTTCTTCTCTTTTTGTTATTTCATGACCTGTTTCTTTAAAAAATAAAGTTTGATTAAATTTTGATTCATCAAGTGGTATATGCAATAAGATAGGAGTTTGTGGAGGAATTTTCGTGTTTTAATTGAGTGCTTAAATCTATTCGGATTCAGAGTGAACTTAGGTACGCATATAAATATATTTGATACCTACAAGTTATCCTATTTTCCATAAGCAAAGCTTGGAGATACAGCCAGTTTGTTTAACTTCTGAACTAAGTAAATACCTACATTTATACATACATTTATCAATATCTGACCGTACTTAGAAAAAATTACGTGAAAAATCAATCGCACGTCCCAAATATAGGCACATATTCAAAATAGATTACCATGTAGGTATATTGGGCGTGAAGAAAGGTTATGTTTTTATAGGCACAGTATACAATGGCCGATGCTGACCATTACGGGTCATAGCTATTGTGTACTGTGTGCCGCTGCGTAGCATAGTGAATAGTTGTCAATGATCAATTTGATGTAAGTAATATATCCTATAGTGAGAGAGGGCGATAGTTAGTGGGGGGGGGGGGGGGGACAGACGGCTACAATAATAGTAAACACGATCGACCTTATCAGGTTGACCTATACGCATTAATACATGAAACGTGGTCATCCTGGTGAATTCTTCACAATGAGCCAATTGGCCAATCCACTAGCGTTCGAGTACGTTTGTACCTCATATGCCGATAGCGCAGACGAGATTGAGTACTATTCATTTTTAAGCCATTAAAAAAAACCTATCCCATAATCCTAATATAATAAACTAGCGACCCGCTTCAACTTCTCACGGATACACATTAGTATATATTGTACATGCTCGTTCAAACGTTTCGAGAAATAATATCTAAAAGACAGTAAAACTCGTATCAAAATTAGTTGCGTTAGAAAAACAAACGCCACCAGTGACTTTGTTAAAAGTAGGTACTTATTTAAAAATATGGAAATTCATAAGAATGTTTAAATGTTTGTTGTTAAACAGTTATAATTTACAACTATTAATTTAATTTTGTAATATGATTACATATATACGTATAAATTTATTTTACCTCTATTTGCAAGAATAACAAGCAAAATGAATCACGTTCTACCCACATGTGTATTTTAATCCTTTCATGTCACCCACCTAAAATCATCCTACAATATATTATAATTATTTGCAATGTAATTCAACGTTATTTACCAATGTGTATGTACTCCATTCACCAGTTCACATTTAAGTGTCTAAAACTAGATACCTACAATGAAGGTCGTTGTGGTTGACTAGTTTATAAATAGACTACTTATAGAAGTACTTTTTAATGGATGAAAATATAATGGTGGAGATTAAGTCAGGTCAGTTAGCCTATCGTGATGAATTCACAAGGAATTAAGTAAATAAAAAAGTTTCAGAAGTTTGGTCCCTACATAGAATAGGTCACTGATTCCATTCTCGTAGGTGTCGTAAGAAGCGACTTATAGAACCTAATGCTTAAGGGATGGACAACAACGTCCCTATTAAAATATCACCAACGCCTAACAACGGTTGTCAACTCATCTGCCTAGCGTGGCAACCGCTGGAAAATCCTCCAAGGATTATGGAATGAAAGGATTATGTTCAGTTAGCGGCTGATACCATGATGTTGATGATGATTTCCAGAAGGGACCGCAGGGAGGCCATCTTGACTGAATGTATTGCTAGCGATGGAGCCGTTAGATCCCATTAGTAAACTATCCTCTTACTCCACACCTTGAGACTTGCTGTGTATCTATTTCAGTATAAAATTATTTACCTGTGGATCAGTAGACAGCTAAATCTTCAACACCCGTAATTCAAACGGTAAGCTCGCTTTCAACATTATCCGGTCATATATCTCCAGTACATCGAACGTGTTTCCGGCACAGACGAATGTACAAAACGTTCGCACCAACTTTGTTTCGAGTAGCCTCAGTCGCTCCCGAGACCACCTCCAGTTACATGTCAATAATGTTTATATTTTACCAGCGTGTTTCCGTTTGTTTCTTATACAGTTTATCCAAATACTATTTCTGTTAGATCTGTGGAATTCCCATGAGTACAACTATAGAACTATTAAAATTAGTTAATGTTATTTTTGAAAACATAATAAAACGCTTACTTTTTTGACAACTTCATTATGGTATTGTTTTTATCTAGGTACGCGTAAACAACGTCATAAAATAACATCCGACACTAATACTAACTTGCTGTGTGACATAAAAAAATAAAATAAATATTTTCATTCTTTTCTAATGAATTAATATTACGAATATACTTGTTGTAATATAAACGTATAAAAAAACATTTATTTTATTTATTTATATATACTTTATTGTACATAAAAAATACATTATTATAATTTATATTAAATGAACATAAACAACAGGCAAGCTTAACTCTGTAAGAGTTCTCTTCCACCGAACCTTCCTTTTTTTCTAAGAATGAAAGAATATTATTTTATTTGTACAATAATTATTCTCTTTCTATATGTAAATACAACAGTCTACATTACAATAACGTAATTATACGTAATAAACAAATGTTGATCACAACAGAAATCTACAAATAATAATATAATTCGTAGACGAAAACGATTGAAGAATATTTAAAAAATGTCTGTAAAAATTCTTCCTTTGTATAACGACGAAATGTGATCCAGTAAAGTGGTAATAAAGCTTATTATATACTAGGTCACTGGGTTATGGTCCGCTTATATAATATAATAGTGCCATATTCCTTATAGCATTTTCTTGTTACGGTTAGCAGTTAACGGACGGTTTTTGTTAAATTTGTTAATCAAAATAATGTTTTTATTTATTCGACTGCTTTACAATTTTACCATTATTATAACCAATTAATGCCTACAAAATCATTTGCATGTATTCATTTTACTAATATTCTAGTACCTAGTGCCTAAACCCACAACTATGACAACATATATGAAACAATCATATCATATTAACATGTACTCAACTATATTTAGCTATTGACGTCGATTAGTATTTGACTACGGAAATCTCAAACTAAAACTAGATAGATATATTTGATAACCAATCCCATTACTAATAAATTAACAAAACTTTTATAACTATTTTAGTAACGAATAGAGTTTAGTGCAATGTGTGAATTACAGTGACAAAATTAATATGAGATCGCCATAATATTGATTGTATCACAACCTGGTAATTG